TGATATTGCTCACGCTCCCAGTGCTTCCCCCCACCTCCTCACCCCACGCCTCCCCTGCGCTACTCCGTTGCTATAGTGATTCCAAAGCCAATCGAGCTCCCCCGCGCCCCGCTTGCGATAAAGCGACACGTGCATGCACTAGACTATTTTGTTTTAGTCTTAAATCCCGGCTTTTTGTACTGGGTACTACGCGACTCTACAACGTAACGCCCCGCTAGGCCAGGCGGGCGGCGTGAGTTTGCGAAAGTCGCTTCACCTCTTAAGAGAAAGCACAAAACTCCCCCTGAGGAACCAAACATAAGTACGCCGTGCCCAGAACACGGGCGTACAAACCTACTCTGTGTTCCTTTGTGACCCGCGTCACGGAGGATTCAAACCAAGTATATAGGCGTATAAAGGCTATTAATGGCAGCTGTTTGAATGAGATGCTACGGTTCTACTGGTGGACTCTGCTAACCCTGTCTCTCCCCCTTTCCGCCTGCTAACACGGGTTGCTTTACACACATTACACACACAAATCAGTGCTCTGCCACACATCCAAGCCGACCACCAAAGCCCGCAGATGTACCGCTGTTGATAGCTGTGCTTGTGCGAATCGTTGACTCGCTGCGATACTTTTGTGGTTTAAATTGCTGCTGATCTGCTAATCCTGCATGCTACTAGCTATGCTACACATCTGTTGTTGTCTAGCATTAAGCTAATTCCCACTTCCGGTGCGCTGCTTCCGGTGCCGCGCCGCTGCTGTACTTGCACTGATTCTGAACCACTCTGCTTACTGCACTGCTTACCCGTTGTCTAACAATAATACTACTTGCTTTACTTTCAAGCTATTCTGGCTCACACTGAGTCTGTGTTTTGGCGATCAAAGGGTGCTAACCCCCGTCTCTGCATGCTGCTAACGGAGCTACACCTCTTTTATTGTCTAGCATAGGACTACTTTCCGGTCCCGGTGCGCTACTTCCGGGGCTACACTGCTGCTGTCTTGACATTTGATTCTGCACCACGTCCTATGACCAACTGTTGGCCGTGGTTCTAACATTAATACTGCTTTGCTATAGACGAGTTTTTTGGGCATTTCCGGTTTACTTCCGGCTTTTGTGTTCTCATTTCCGGTTACGCTCTTTTACTGTTTAAAAACGTTATTTTCCTTCGTGAATTATGTCTCTTAAATGGCGACATTCGGCGACATTTCTCACGAAAGATGGAGTTTGTACAATTCCCCATCCATCCATGATAACGACTTGGGATGACAACATGTCTAAATGGCCGAAAATCACCACAACAAAAATATTTTCGTACTACGTTGACTCCATGGCTGTGGATGGAAATGCGATCAACAACCTGAAGAGCTCGGAGCCACATCAGTACCTTCATAGCAACAAAGTAGGCTGTGTACTATTACACGAACGTGACCCGTTCATTTATATGAAGGCAGATGTTGAGCCGAGTCAATGTCTCAACGATTTAGTCCACAAACCATGGGTGGTGGTGGCAAACAATACGGGAGACATTGAAACTGCCGGTTGTACGTGTGTAGCCGGACCTGGGCGTTCGTGTAGCCATGCAGCCGCCGTGCTATGGAAGGTACGTTCTTTATTTTGATGCTTGCACCGTACTTCTTATTTGGTTACTTTATTATGTTACAGATAGAGATTGTGTACTTGTGTCTTTGATGCTAGATAGTTAAATATGTTATTTTATTTTAATTAGCTTTTAATCATTTATTTTGTGCTGTGTGCTCCTCATTCCTACTGTTCTGTAAATAGTGACGCAAAAACAAAATTCCAAGTATCTCTTCGTTAATTTGATGCTTGTGTTTTGACAGTACTGTCTACAACAATAACAGTTTTGGTCACTAGATGTCACTGTTTAAATACCAATTACGTTAATATTAATCTAAACTACATTGATTAATGCACCACTCAATAAATGAAAACTTAACAGTGTGATACAATCAATCACTTTGATTGCCGTGTAAGTAACAACTGAGAAGTAGAGAATAGAGCAAGAATCAACATACATTCCTAAAATATAAAAAATATTACAACCCACTCAGTAGTCATGCCATACAAGATCTTAATCTCAATGGGGCTCTCCTGGTTAAACAAAGGTTTAATAATAAAATAAAGAGTGCTGTTGAAGGCTTTTTATAACCAAGTGAGTAATTTTGTGTTGATTTGTTTTCAGGTAGAAAATGCTGTGAGGCAAGGGAAGACAGGGCTTGCCTGCACTGATGTGCAAAACATTTGGAATGCTGGCTCAAGATGTAACAGTGGCCAGCAAAAGATGAAGGATGTCTCTTTCCAAAGGCACAAAGAAAATACACTGTACAAATCTGCATTGCAACCATCCTCGACCAGCAATGCCCCTGGGACCAGCCGCAAGGTGGTATTGCATGATACCCTGGAGGAATGGCAAGCTTACTGTCTGTCCACACCAATAGCAGCGCTTTTTACTGCACCAGGCAATGGACTATTGCAGCTGACTTTTAAAACGGACCTCTCTGCTCAGCTTGCCATGAAAGTACCAGCTCCACTGGTACCAAACCACGGTGAGCACTCGCCAAAATGTGTGTGTGTAAAGTGCAGGGAATTCTATAACAAATATATTGACATGGACACAGCTCAACTTGTGCTTATTGAGCAACAAACTAAAGCACAGAGTCGAGAACAACTTTGGCATGACATGAGGCGTATTCGCATAACAGCCAGCACAGCCAAAAAAGTTCCAGTTCGTGGCACCACATCCCCACAAAAGTTTTTGTCGGAGCACCTCCATCCTACCTTCCACGGCAACGCTGCAACTCGGCATGGATCTGACAGTGAGGAGCATGCCAGACAACACCTGCAAGAGGAAGGTTATGCCATTGAAGTAAAAGGACTAGCCCAAGTGAGCCATGGCTGGCAGCAAGTCCAGATGGTATCATCGGCACAGACATACTTCTGGAAATAAAGTGCCCAGTTATTGCGAAGGACCAATCTTTTACAGAAACACTCAAGGCCAAAAGCAGCGACATGAAGCCTCTGCCTAATGGTGACTTTATCTTGTCACATAATGGCCCAAAGGGTTATTACATGCAGGTGCAACTGGGTATGCACTGCACAGGGCTTCAGCTAGCCTTGTTGGTGGTTTGGGCTAAGAATGAGTATGTGCGCATAGATGTCCCCTACAACCACACTTATGTTGAGGGACATATCAAAAGGCTGCGGTCCTTCTACTATACACACATGCTGCCAAAAATTGTGGATGAATTTGATGAGGGAAGGCTAGAGTTGTGCTCCAGATATCTAGCTGTTGTAAATTCACCATGACCTGCTCCTACTCGATGTCCTTTGTCATTACTTTCACAAACACAGACTCATTCACCCCCACTGTGTGAAGGAGAGGTTCTGCAGGTCTTTCCTTCCTGCTCCTGTCAAACAGCACAATGAGCTGCACATGTCATTCATCTGTAAATATTGAATACTAAAACATGTGCAATACTGCATTTCAGTATGCCCACTTAATGTCACTTTATTATCCTGCGTGTATATAACTTTATATATATAAATATGTATATAATAATTAAACATTTACAGCTAGCTAAGAAATGTAACAGCTATTTCTTTTGTATTTTGTGTGCCCTGTGTGTGCTCTTACTACTGTCTTACTGTTAGGACATGTCAGCTGCAAAGTGCTATTTTTAAAGATAAAGGTTCTCTTATCTTACCCAAGTTCTCTTGTTCATTACTGGACATACTGTAAGACATTTTGACGTTTTCAACATTTTAATTGTTTGAGGAAATGTATACATACAATACAAAGCTGTGGATGGGCTCTCAAACATTAGCTTGGATGCCATCTGTTAATATTTACAAAATGGGATGGGACATGGAATAAAAACAGTTTATAATTTTTTCAGTACAATAGCTACTGCCATAAAGAAAATCAAGTAAGCTTTAAAAAGACGAGAGCACAGTTACACTTCATGTGGCAGTCTAATCAGTCTAGACTTCATATTAACCAAGGCTGCACAGATTATTAGAATTTTGTCCAACTTCGGAACCATGGTGATGGGGACAGTTTGAGATAAGATTTTAAAAACTTTCAGCCTTCGGATTGCTCGCTCCACATGTATACGGACATTGGCCACTCGTCTCGTACGTGTCACCTCCTCATTAGTCAATTGGCCACGCTTGTGGGTAAAGGCTGGAATATTCAACTTTACCCTCCTCTCATGCAGCAGGTCTCGAATAGTGAAACCCCGGTCAGCCATCACCTCATCACCTGGCCTCAGGGCCTCCAAAAACCCACTATTCATGGTGATGTACTTGTCACTGCTTCTACCTGCATAACCTTCAGATATAAACATGATCAGCCCATGAGGGGAAACAGCAACTAGATATTTCACAGTATTGGTTCCTTTGTAGTGACTAAATGTGGAACTCCTGGAGTTGAGGTTTGTAGCTCTCTGAATAGCTGTTTCAGCACAATCAATGATGCAAGTTGTATTGGGGTAGTTTTCTCAAAAAGATGGAGGCATATTGGCACGAATTACACTTCTCGGGAGCCAGGCAACCATAGGCACAAGCTGGTCCCCCATCGTGTCAATCCAGTCAGAAATCACTGTACTTGCCTTGCTTTTGGACACATTGAAACGGTAAGCCACATCTCCTAACACAAGGTTAAGTTTCAATTTCATGAGGGTCATCAGTATTTGATCAACAACAGGAATATTACACGTTGGTTTTCTAAATGGCAACATTGTTTCCACCAATGTAAAGAAATGAGTCCGAATCATTCCTGTGTACAGCAGCGACGAGTGGTCCTCTACTAGCACAGATTCGGCCACGGTCTGAGCCATTACAGTCTCGGTCTGCGTTTCTTTGTTTCCAATGTCTGCCTTTGCTGATGCGTAGCTGTGGTCGACCATTGACATTTCTTCCCACTGTGTCGCAGCGTCTTTACACTTAGGCTCGTTGACAATCTGGTCCACTAGCAGCACAGATTCAGTGCTCATTTCAGCCGTTTCTGAGAGACAGAAGCATCATGTTATTATGTACTACACATACAACACACACACAACAAAAATATAATCACGGGAAGCGTTTACACTAGATAACCATTTAACATTTAAGTTGTGTTCGGGTCAAATTAGACCGATATGCACATTTAAACACTCATAAAACATTCTTGTTACATCTCATTGCCAAGACTTTATGATATCCGCCACACTTTGCACCTGAATATACAAAATTGATGAGCATCACTTTACTGGAATTTTGAGTCTTTTAGTTAACCTTGTTACATCTGTTGTGTTCCGGTCAAAAGTGACCACCATAGAAATGTATGTGTAAACAGATCATATTTATCCAGACAACACACACACAGACAGCACACACAGACACAACACACACACACAGACACAATACACACACACACAACACACACACAGACACAACACACACAACACACACCAAATTAAGGGGTGAAAAACGAACACGACTTAAAGGTTAAAAGTAAAAGACTTACCGTGAGAACTTGAGGCTCTATGAAAGCCGGGGTTCCTCTCAAGTTTACGTCTCTTGCGCTGGGGAGGACGCTCGTATCCCAGGAAAAGTTCCGGGAAAGGATTTTCCTCAGTGGGCTTCTTGTCCACAAAGTGATAGGAGCAAACATACACTCTTTTAGGGGGTTTCTTCAACTTTAAAGCAGCTAGCCACATCCTGGACTCGTTGTCAGCTGTTGGCTTCAAAAACAAAGCAAACGGTGGAGCACATCCACATCGGCGTCTTGTAGCTGGTCGATGATCATAACATTCTCCTTCCAGCCATATATTCAAGCGTTTCCACGAATTCGTACAACCACGGACCGCACAGTATGATCCACAACCCAGTTTGCGTTTTCCTATATCCATTTTAAAATCCGCAGAACTTGGAATGATCCTCCATCTTCGGTCTAAACTGCAGTTGTGTAAGCTGCGCCAAGCGCAAACCGGAAGTGAAAAACAGCATAGCGCTTCTATGGCTGCGCCCATGGTTACGCCCAAAAAACTCGTCTATACTTCCGTGCTGTTTTGGTTTACTCCAACTCTATAACCACACTACACGGCCAAACTCGATGCTTGATTGTGTTAAACTAATACTGTAATTCTGCTCCTCACTGCTGCATGTTATTTTGGACCGCATTGCTGTGTTGGTTAAACTAATACTGTACTCCCGCTCCTACCCGCTGCAGGTTATTGCTAAAACGCATTACTGTGGTGGCCAAACCTATGCCGTATTTCTACTCCTCCCTGCTGCATGTTATTGTTAAACCGCATTACTGTGTTGGTTAAACTAATACTGTACTCCCGCTCCTAGACGCCGCTGCGTCTCAACGCCGCTGCGTCTCAACGCCGCTGCGTCTCAACGCCGCTGCGTCCCAACGCCGCAGCGGCGTCTCAACGCCGCCGCGTCTCAACGCCGCCGCGTCCCACGCCGCCGCGTCTCAACGCCGCCGCGTCTCAAACGCCGCCGCGTCCCAACGCCAAAATCTTGAAGTCTACATTTAACAATGATATAGGTCTAAAGGAAGAACATTCCAGTGGGTCCTTATTTGGTTTCAGCAGTAGTGAGATGCTGGCTTGTCGGAGAGTGGGCGGAAGGGTTGATTTATCGAGGGACTCTATGTACATATTCCTCAATAAGGGAGAAAGAATGTCTTTAAAAGTTTTAAAAAATTCAACAGGATAACCATCCGGCCCCGGTGATTTTGAACTTTGCATAGCACTGATTGATAATTTAACCTCCTCAATTGATATTGACTCCTCTAATTTATCTTTAAAAACTGGCTCTAAGGTAGGAATTGCTAAGTTTTCAAAAAAATTATCGAATAGCTCTTGTGATTTTAAGGATTCAGACTGATATAGAGTATCATAAAATGTTTGGAAGGTATCATTGATTACCTTTGGATTTATAGTAACCTGTCCATTTTGGGTTCTGATTTCGGATATTAGATGTGTGGATTCTGACTTCCGCAGCTGATGCGCTAGAAGTTTTGAAGCCCTCTCCCCATGCTCGTACCATCGACCTCTAGATTTCTGAATCAAACGTTCAGCCTGTTGAGTTGTTATCAAATTGAATTCAGTTTGTAAAACCATACGTTGTTTGTACAACTCTGGGGTAGGTGTCAAGGAATGTTGAGAATCTAATTTAGCAATTTGTTCCGTCAACTCTGAAATACGATTTTGTTTCTGCTTTTTATTATATGAACAGAAAGAAATGATCTGTCCTCGCAGAAATGCTTTTAAACTTTCCCAAACAGTACTATATGCCATACCGGGGGTTAAATTTGACTCTAGAAAAATATTGATTTGTTCACCAACATATTCCACAAATGTTTTATCGGATAATAGCAATGGATCAAGTCTCCATGAATACATAGAAGCTTCATTTGGAAAGTTAAGTTCTAGAACCAAAGGGCTATGATCAGACACAACTATACTTTCATATCTGCAAGATTTAACATTTGAGATCATTTTCTTATCCATAAAACAATAGTCAATGCGTGAATATGTTTGGTGCACTGGTGATAAAAATGAGTAGTGTTTTAAAGAGGGGTTAAAATGACGCCAAACATCGACCACTCCATACATATTCAGATATGATTGTAAAATTCGAGCGGATTTTGAGACTGAAAGAGGTTTTGTAGATGATCTGTCGAGAATTGGGTCAATCACCGTGTTCATATCACCACAGAGTAACAAGTAATGTGTATTGATTTGAGGTAAAGAGTGAAGAAAGTTCTTGAAAATTTTTTTATCATCCCAGTTAGAGGCATATACATTGGCCAGAACTAAAAGAATATTAAACAAAGATCCAGTTACTATTATGAAACGACCATTAGGGTCAGATATTGTGTCGGAAGCCCTAAAAGGAGTGTTTTTATGAATGAGAATGGCAGTGCCTCTCGCTTTTGCGTTGAAATTTGAGTAGAAAACTTGTCCCACCCAATTTCTTTTTTAGTTTTGGTTGTGATAACTTTTTGAGGTGTGTTTCCTGTAGAAATGCTATGTTTACTTTGAGGTGTAACAGATGAGAAAGTATCTTATTGCATTTAATTGGATGGTTCAGTCCTTTTACATTCCAACTTATGAAGTTAACATGACGGCCATTACCTCCAGCTTGAGAATTATCTGATAGAATAACCATGGTTGTCTTCAAGTGAATGAGTATTCCAGTTGGCATGCGACATTTCTGCTACTACGGATACAAAGAAAGAATTAACTACAGTAAAAAAAAGTGCAAGGCGGAAACAAAACAGAAAAAAACACACATAGCCCCCCACCCCCCTCCCTAATATCAATCAATCAATCAAAGTTTATTTGTAGAGCGCCTTTCATACACAGGGCAACACAAAGCGCTTCACAGTCCACATCACAAATCATCACATAAAACAAACACCAGAATCACAATTAAAACATTAAAATCACACAAAAGATTAAAACACAATTAAAACATTAAAATCACACAAAAGATTAAAACACAATTAAAACATTAAAATCACACAAAAGAATAAAACCATTAAAACTTTCAAAATTACACAAGAAATTTAAAAAAATAAATAAATAAATGACAGCAGTGCATCAGAAATGGAGATAAAATCCTTCAGTTGTGTGCACAGGCAAACAGAACAGTCTTTAACCTGGATTTGAACATTGACAGAGTAGACGCCTCCCTCACATTTTCAGGGAGATTGTTCCAGATCTTAGCTGCATGGATCTGAAACGCAGCCTCCCCATGTTTGGTTCTCACTCTGGGCACCAGCAGGAGGCCAGTCCCTGTGCTCCTCAGAGTCCGGGCTGGTTCATATGACACCAACATGTCACTAATGTATTTTGGTGCAAGGCCATGGAGAGACTTGTACACAAGCAGAGCTGTTTTAAAATCTATTCTTTGAGCCACAGGAAGCCAGTGCAGAGACCTGAGGACCGGACTAATATGGTCATACTTCCTGGTTCCTGTCAGGACTCTAGCTGCTGCATTTTGGATGTACTGCAGCTGCTTACAGGTCTGTTTGGACAGACCTGTAAGCAGGCCATTGCAGTAGTCTAGCCTGCTGGAGACAAATGCATGGACAAGAATCTCCAAGTCTGCCCTGGACACTATATTTCTAACTTTGGCAATGTTCTTCAGATGGTAAAAAGCTGTTGATGTTGTTGATTTTATGTGGCTATTGAAATTTAGGTCTGAGTCCAGTATTACCCCCAAATTTCTGACCTTGTCTGAAGGAAGTAGGGAGAGAGACTGAAGTTGACAAATGACGCCCTCTCTTTGTTTCTGGGGACCAAAGACAATGATTTCGGTTTTGTCTGCATTTAGCTGGAGGAAATTATTTTGCATCCAGTCACTGATCTGTTGGATACAGTGAAGGAGCAAATCCAGTGGTCCATGTTCTCCTGCAGTCAGTGAGACATAGATCTGAGTGTCGTCGGCGTAATTGTGGTAGGACACTTTGTTTCTTTGTATTAACTGACCTAACGGCAGCATGTAGAGATTAAATAGGAGAGGTCCCAGGATCGACCCCTGTGGTACTCCACAGGTCAGGGCCACATGATCTGAGACGCAGTCTCCAATCTCCACAAAGTACTTCCTATCCTCCAGGTAAGACCTAAACCAGTCTAGGGCTGTGCCAGTGACACCAACCCAGTCCTCCAGTCTCTGCATGAGGATCTCATGGTCGACAGTGTCGAACGCGGCACTAAGATCTAACATGACCAAAACTGTGACTTTACCTGCATCAGTGTGAAGTCGAATGTCGTTTGTTACCTTCACTAGAGCGGTCTCAGTGCTGTGGTGGGGTCTAAACCCAGACTGGAACATATCAAAAGAATTATTCATTGTTAAAAATTCAGTAAGTTGTTGGGAGGCCACTTTTTCAAGAATTTTTCCAATGAATGGCAGATTCGATATGGGGCGATAATTTTGAAGTCCCGCAGGATCCAGACTGCTCTTTTTTGAGGAGAGGTCTTATGACTGCTGTTTTTAGGGCCATAGGAAATGTTCCTGACGACAGAGACATGTTTACTATTTGTGTCAGTGAAGGTAACAAACTGCTCAGGACGGACTTCAGAAATTTAGAGGGCAATATATCCAGGCTACATGTGGAGGAGCTCAGACTCATGATTATCTTTTTGACAGTTTCAGTATCCACAGGTGCAAAGTGAGTTAGCTCAAAAAGCTTCTCTGGCTGTTGCATTGTTATACGTGCTGTGGAGGTGATAGTGTTTTTGATTCCTTGTACTTTGTCATCGAAAAACTGTGCGAACTCATTACACCTAGATTTAGAGGAAAATTCTAGGGGCAACTTTACAGGGGGGTTCGTTAATCTACCAACTGTTGAAAACATAACACGAAAATTGTTACTGCAACCTCCAATAATGTCAGAAAAATACATTTCTCTTGTTCTACGTAGAACCCGGTTAAATTCACCCAACTCATCTTTAAAGATTTCATAATCGCCCTGGAAATTGGACTTTCGCCACTTCCGTTCGGCCCTCCGGCACTCT